GACCTGCAGGATATGGTTCACATGTGATTGCCTATCAGGGTCGAACGCTCCACGCGGTTTGAAAGACCATCGTCGACATCACCGCGGCGAGAACTTGTCCGGCACCCTCCAGATGGCATGTGCATTCTTGGGCCCGGTACGCTCGCCTGGGCCAGGCGTGGGGTCACGGCCCAGTTGGCGGCCCTACAGGGTCCACTTCTTCCCGATCGATCCGACTCGGTGTCGATTCTGACCTGCCCGATCCGACTCGATCCCGAGGTTGTTGCACGGCGCTGTTGTGCATCCCGGTGCGGCCGATCCGATTTGATTCCGACTCCGTGCTGATATTCGATCTTGACGCCGTGCCGATGCAGTCCGATCCCACGCATCTGCCGATCCGCTCAGATTTCCCCGCTCGATGCTGGCTGATCCTGCCCAGCGCCCAGGACGAGGTGCAGCGCCACTACTACGTGACCCCCACCTCGTACCTGGAGCTGATAAACGCCTTCAAGGACGGCTGCGCCGCCCAGCCACCGCTAACAGGCGCGGTGCGGCTAGCCAGTTTGTGTTGAAAAATCAGCAGAAAAAAACGAATCATAAAAATGATAAATAGTAATGCTGATAGACAGCTACATCAACATACACTTTCGGAGCTTCGAGCAGATCTCAGGGACTGGGGAGCTCAGCCCCGATCCGAGAGATCCGCGTGGATCTCCGAAAGTAACCACGTGTGTTTACGCGCGTTCTCTCTTTGGCTTCCACTGTGGGAGGAGGGCCAGTCGAGACCACGGAGGCTCCCCTGCCCAGGCTCAAGTCTGCTCAAAATCGTTCCCTGGACCCCTATCTGATCACGCTTTGCACGGAGTGCCCTTCGATCGCAATTGTGCAGCAGGGCAGCTCCACTCTTTGGCACCACATGGCTTCGAGGTCGGCTTGACGAGCCTGCTTCAGGCGCTGCAGCCCTCGGCGGGGCAAGCACACGAACGTCACAGACCATTACAGAAGGAGAGGCAACATGGGAGAGAGGAGCCCTTTGGCGCTGACCCGGCGTGGGCGGCAGGAGCTTCGCGCGAAGGAAGGGAGCAGCTGACCCCGGGGCCGGCGGTGGAGGCAGCGGCAGGCCGGGGGTTGTCGGGGCCCCTGCTCGGGGCTCTCGGCATGTTGCCAGCATGGCGCTCGTGCACTGCACGATCAAGGTGCCGAAAGAAGGGCCACTTCGGGCTCACGAGGGCTCTGGTTTTCCGGCCGTTCCTCAGCAGGTCCAGGTCGGAGAGCATTTTCGAAGCCGAGGCTCGCGGGGCAGAAGAGCCCATTTGTTCCTTATTCAGCGCTCCTTCTGGCAGCACGATGACTGTACCAGCTTACTTCAGGCCCTGATCCAACGCGGCACGGTGTCTTCCACCGCTCCGAAGCCGAAACCTATGCAACGTGCCATTTCTTGGGTCGAGTTTCGACGACGTTTCGGGAGACGCCGACGCGGTAGGGTCAGCAGGGTGGGGCCGGCTGGGATTTGAGGTGGCCCAGCACTCGTTCCTGCCAGCTGGAAGGGGGGCGATGTTCGAGGTCCTGGTTTCTAGTTTTTTTTCGTTGTGCTTTTTGTTTTTGTTGTGTTTCTCTGCCTCCCAGGGCCTTTTGCAGGCCGCAGGACCGCCAAACACGGATCTCCGTAGCCAGTTTGGCTCAAGCTGCTGTGGCCCGAGTTTTGGACTGGATGTCTTTGCCTGGCGACGAAGCGAGATTTCTCGCTTTTGGTGTCACTTTGACTCTTGCGGCGTTGCTGCTTTGTGAGCTCGGGGAGCACTTTCGATGGATTGTTGGCGGCTCCTTCCTGTTTCAGGCGGCCAGCAAGCACCTCGGGGACGTGGGCGTCAAGGATGGGGAGACCCAAAGGTACCGATACCGCTGCTCCCCGGACCTCTCCCGGGGTGCGTTCTGACCCAGATTTCGAGGCGAATCCAGCGGTGGCGACGAGAGCCTCCGAGGAGGCCCAAAAAGCGGAAGACGGGCGAAGGGTACAGGTATGGGTACCTTTTTCTCCTCCGACAGGACCCTCCATTTACGAAGACGCCCGGTGACCAGCTGGATGCCAGCAGTTTCGGGACGACGACAGCGCGCGCAGGCGATGGTGGCCGGCCGGAGGCGCACGCTCCCACGACAACCTCTGCGAAGACAGCCGCGGGTGCTGGTGACGGGAGTGCAGCTACGGTTGCGCGCGCTGGTGATGTAGGGCGACGAGATCTATGCATATCCACTGCTCCTGGCCAGGCCAATCCTGGGCCCAGGAGCGGTGTATACGCCCTCCTGGCCTGGCCAGGGAGGCATATACACAGCTCCTGGGCCCAGGATGGGCCTGGCCAGGAGCAGTAGATATGTATAGATCTCGTCGCCCTATGATGGTGGTCGGCCGGATGCAGACGCTGCTGCGACAACTTCTGTGGCAGCCGCCTTTCGCAGTGGTGACAGGAGCGTCAATATTCGTGAATTCGGCTGGACATTCCACGGATGGTCTCGGCTAGGGAACGCCTCGCTGAATGCCGCGCACACGTCGACCGAGGCATCGGAGTCCTCGGCGAATTCATCTGGTGTCCTGGATGCGTTGCGAATGGTTCTGTTTATCTCAACGACAAGGTCGGATCAACACACTAGCTTTTTAGAATGTCAGGCAGATTTGATGAGCCGCCTACCAATGCTATCCAGGGCGGATGCCGTCTTATCTGTGTTGGTAGACAAGCGCAGTGTTGTCGGTGCGGTAGAGCCTCTTGTAGATGTGTCCCAGCAGCTTCGGCAGAAGTACGAGCAGCTGTTGGCCCCGTGGTCGACTGGAACTAAGCGAGTTTATTTCTTGGAAGACCCGGGAGGGGACCAAGGAGCGAAGAAAGCTGTACATGTCGCCTTTTCCAGCGGGTGGTTCAGCAGTTATGACTGGGTTATCAGAATGGAGCCTGACGTAGTCATCTACAACGAAAACTATCTGATATCGCTCATGGGTATGCCAGATAATTGGGGTATCTTCGCGAGTTGCAATTTAAATCCATGTATGCACAAGCTTCGTCCCATCTGCTGTCATCAACGCTCTGGTTGCGGTCTCCAGGACGATTTTAGGACGAATGCTGACTTTTATGCTGTTCGACCGGACCGCATCCCCAGAGATGCCTTCAACCATTGGGATGGCAAGGTTGGAGAAGAAGTGGAGCATTTTATTTCTCGAGCTTTCCGGTCGATTTATGAGGCGAAGAAAGAAGTGTACATTTGGCAAGATAACAACGATTACGCCTGCCGAACACGAGGCAGCGGAGTATGGCACACCTCTGAGGTGTGCCCTGTTCTTCTGCACGCGTGGCAGCTCGAGACACCTCCGTGGCATACTGGTTTTTGTGATCAGGAGTTCCCAACATCTTCAAGAAAACTGTTTATGGAGGCATGCTGGAATGGCGAGGAACTCGACGAAGAAATGTCAGCCAGGTGGTCGCAGATCGTAAATTTCACGTCGGGCATGTCAGCAGTGTCGCTCGAGACGGGCATCACTAGTTTACTGCGCGTGGTGCTCTTTGTCACAACTGTGGGGTCCAAGCAGCATCTGGCTTTTTTGTCGTGTCAGGCGGGATTGTTCAGCCGCTTACCCAGGCTATCGAACGCAGATGCCATACTCTCCGTGGGATTACCAAAGCTCTCAGCGGGAGAGGGCACTGCGCCACCGAAAGAGGTGCGTCGGTACGAGCAGCTGGTGCGCGATTGGCCGTGCAGAAGAAAAACGGTTCGCTTCATCAAGAACCTGGGATACCAAGCTGGCGCAGTCGAGGCAACACACATAGCCTTTTCATCCGGCTGGTTCGACGGCTATGATTGGGTCATCCGCATGAACCCGGACGTTGTTATTTGGTCGCTTCGCTCGTTCCGCTGGCCCATACTGTCGCAGCGCTGTCGGCTGGCCGAGTGGTCGTTTGCAGCGTGGGCCTGCGGGCGCGGGGGCTTGTTTTTCGAGTCGCTTCGTTCGCGGAGTGATGGATGCTGGGGCTGAAGGCAGCTCTCGTGGAGCAGTCCGGGGGTGATTCGCCTGGACTCTCTGGGGAGCTGTTGGAGGAAGTGCTTGTTTTTGTGTTGCACGGGGCTTCTAGGTGCTTGCTGCTTCGGCAGCGGATGCCCAGAAGTTGCCTTGGAGGACCCTCTGGGGAGTGCGTTGGCAGGGCTCGGCACCATGCGGCCTCATATCTGCCGTTTGCGTGAGAGCTCGTTGTCAATGCGGCGCTCTTTGGATCTCTCGGCAGGCGCCTGGGGTGCCTGTTGGAGGCAGTTTTGAAGCTTCTTCAGCCGTATTGGGGGCCGTTTGGGGGTTCTTAGGGGTTCCATTTTGGACTTCTTGTGAGCTTCTTGGAGGCTTCTTGGGAACCCGCTCGCGGTCTCGGAGGCGTCCTTGGAGCGGAAAGCTCGAAATATCATTTGGAGTTCCCTCTCATGGAGCCGTTTTTGGGGATCCTGGGCGCCTCTTGGGGCGTCTTGGGGCTCTCTTGGGGTGTCTTGAGGCCTTTTGGGCTTATCTTGGAGGCCTGTTGGGCCCTCTTGGGGCGATCTTGGAGGCGCTTGGGCAGTCTTGGACGTTGTGAAACACCAAAAATGGTATATGCGAAAAATGTACGTTATCCTCAGGGAGTGGCGCACATTTTGTTTGTTGGGGCCACCTTGGACGGCCTCTTGAGACTCTCTTGGGGCTTCTTGGCGGCCCCGGGGGCTGTCTGAGGGCTATGTTTCGCGTCTTGGAACGATCTTTCAGCGACTCGGAGCCCTCTTGGACCGTCTCTGGGGCGTCTCGGGGCCCTTTTGGCGCGCTCCCAGGACCTGCCGGGGACCTGCCCGGGGGTGGTCGGGGGTTCGTCGGGGTAGTTTTCGTCCGGGAGCCCCCAGGAGCCGCCCCGCGCGCGCGAATCAGAAATATTATTATACTGTTAACCAGTGACCGGAGATCTTAGCACGCCTCTGGCCAGTTGGGCTGGCGAATTTACAACGAGAACCCTCTGTTCGATTTCATGGAGAGGCCAGACAATTGGGGTGTCTTCGCGGGTTGCAACCCAGGCGAACCGTGTCGTCAACATTCTGGTTGCGGTCTTAAGCGTAAAGGCTTTTGGACGCACACGGACTTTAATGCCGTCCGTCCTGATCGGCTTCCCCGGGATGCCTTCAACGTCAGCGGGAAAAAGGTGCACGCCGAGAGCCATGCGACGATGGCTTTCCAAGACATATTTTCAGCGCGAACAGATGCTTACATTTGGAACCAGGACGTAGACCACAATTGTCGCATACGGGGTGGTGGAGTGTGGCATACGCAGGAAGCCTGCCCAGCACTGGTGAACGCCTGGGAGCGAAAGACGCCGCCGTGGTACAGAAGCTTCTGCTTCGAGGAAGTGCCGGCGGCATCTAGCAAGCTATTCACCGAGGCGTGTCTGGGACACGGGCACAAGGACGCGCTCGGGAAGAGGGTGAAGCAGCAGAACATGTTTGTTCAGGAGGGCGGCGGCATCACGCCGTCACAGCGCGCATCTGTTCCTTAATTATCTGCCCAATCGCACCGAGTTGCACGCCAAATTTTATCTAGTACACGCGGAATTTCCACTCAGTTTCAGCAATAGTCGCCACTGTCACGATGCCGACACTAGCAATACTCATAGAGCGCACTGTCCAACGACGGTATTTGTGTCGCAGCGGCGAGCGGCCCGTCGCGGTCGTGTCCAAGCGGGTTGTTCCTTCGCGAACGTTGTCCAGGAACGAACAAACAGGACCGCCAAACACGGACCTGGGGTGAGCCCCTGCACCAGGTATAGACCCCAGGGGGGGTCCGGGGACCGACTCTGAGCAGATCTGCCGTCATTCTCCCCCCTCGTGGCCGATTCTCTCGGGGCCCAACCAGCTCAGCTCCCCTCGGCGCCTCCGATCAGCAGGGCGTATGCCCTTCCCGAGGATGGACGCCCCACTTTTGAGGACGGACGCCGCCCTGTCGAGGCTGCATCACCAGGGAGCTATTCGGGCGCGCCCCCATCGAGGATGGACGCTCCCCGCATGTCCCCGAGGGGGCCCCAACTTCTGGTGTCCACTCGAGGACCCCACGAAGGCGAGGATGTCGGTCGCCATATCCCCTGTTGCACACCAGGGGTCCGAGCGAGGATCACGCCGCGATGTGGAGCCAGACTTTCTCCACGCCAGGGGTCGACCTGAGCGGTGTTTTGGGCGATTTCGTGGGCCGTTTTCGGTTTGACTGCGTTTTGCAGCGAGGGCGGATTGAAGACAAAACGAGGGAGAACGAAAACAAAACGAAAACGAGACACACTGCTTAGGTCGATCCCTGCTCCACGCCGACGTTGCCGATGCATCGCCGACGTCACCGACGCATGACCGATGCATCGCCGATGCATCCGCGATGCGGCGCGATCTCCCGACCCCATCTACTCGGACCCCACTAGGGAGGCCTCTGGAGTCAGGGAGCATAGTAAGGATGAGCAACTTTCCAAGGTTTCCCTTACATCCTTGCCCCTTCGGCCCCTCCTTGTGAATCTTGGTCAGCCCTTGGGGTACTCTTACCATTGCATCCTTTCGTTTTCGGCCGCACCCCGTCCGAAAAGCGCCAACACGGCCTTCAAGGCATTTTGCATCCTTACCGCGCATCCTTATCATACGCCTTGGCTGTATGTCCAGACATCCGGCTGCTCCAATCTGTTCGATGCGTGTGCCCACTGCCTGGTTCTCCGTCCCGAGCACTTTTTCGACGGTCCGGGGACCCAGCGATGGGGCCCTGTAGGCCGAAAACAGCCCCAAACCGCCCGCTCTAATTTTCTCTTGGAGCGTCAGAGATTTGGGACGGAGGCTTGGAGACGGCCACCAACACCACCACAAGGGGGTGCCCCCGCGGGGAGAAGATGCTTCTAGATGTTGGTGCTGGTGGTAGTCGTTCGACCACCTAGGAAGCCAGCAGATCACCACCATCAGCGAGATGGGATTCCTCCGGTGGAGGCACACCAACGATGTTGGTGTTGGTGCCAAACTTTGAGCACCGTTGAACCAATCCCTACTACCAATAGCGTGGTCTGGGCCCCACTGGCCGATTTTACATCCCCAGATGGGTATGTAGGCTGTCTCCTTATTTGGGCCTCTAAAGGGTATATCCCCAACTGGGGTGGTGGGATGTTGGGGATCTGGATGGAGGAGGAGGAGGAGGAGGAGGAATAGGACGAGGAGCGGGAGGAGAAGGGTGATGATGATGATGATGATGATGATGATGATGATGATGATGATGATGATGATGATGATGACGATGATGATGCTGATGATGATGATGATGATGATGCTGATGATGATGATGCTGATGATGATGATGATGAGGATGATGATGATGCAGATGATGATGCTGATGCTGATGCTGATGCTGATGATGATGCTGTGATGATGATGATGATGATGAGGATGATGATGATGATGATGATGATGTGATGATGATGTTGATGCTGATGCTGGTGCTGATGATGATAATGATGATGATGATGACGATGATGATGATGATGATGTGCTGATGATGCTGATGCTGATGCTGATGATGATGATGATGATGATGATGATGAGGAGGAGGAGGGGAGGAGGAGGAGGAGGAGGAGTAGGAGGAGGAGGAACATGAGGATGAGGAGTGGAGGAGGAGGAAGGAGGAGGAGGAGGAGGAGGAGGAGGAGGAGAGGAGGAGGAGGAGGAGAGAGGGAGGAGGAGGAGGAGGAGGAGGAGGAGGAGGAGGAGGGAGGAGGAGGAGGAAGAGGAGGAGGAGGAGGAGGAGGAGGAGGAGGAGGAGGAGGAGGAGGAGGATGAGGATGAGGAGGGGGAGCAGCAGGAGGAAGAGGATGAGGAAGAGGAGGAGGAAGAGGAAAAAGAGTACTAAGAACACCCACATTAATAATGTTAATGATAATATGAGTAGTTATTTCAATATTAGTAATACAATCAGTAACGGTAAGGCTTACCATAATCATAAGCATCATTTTGCTAACACTATTCATGATACAACTACTTCTTTTCCATACTATGAAAAAGAACAGCAATACGGCTTATACCAGTACTACTACGAATAATACTGTTGCTAGTAATGCTACCAATAATAATACTATTGCGAATCCTACTGATATTAATACTACTAAGGTTGATGATACTACCCATAATAATACCAACGATACTGACACTATTTCTACTAGTACTAACTAATAAGGCTGACAACACTAATACTAATGCTATCACTCATAATACTAAGAAGAGGAGGAAGAACAGGAGGAGGAGGAGTCGGAGGAGGAGGGGGAGGGGCAGGAGGAGGAGGGGGGGGAGGAGGCCTGAGTGGAGGAGGAGGAGGAGGAGGAGGAGGAGGGAGGAGGAGGAGGAGGAGGAGGAGGAGGAGGAGGAGGAGGAGGATGAGGAGGAGGAGGGGAGGGAGGAGGAGGGGAGGAGGAGGAGGAGGAGGGAGGAGGGAGGAGGGGGAGGAGGGGGGAGGCGGAGAAGGAGGTGGTCGAGGGGGTTCGTGCCCCGCGGCCGCCCGCAGGACGTTCTCCGCAGCAAGCGCGACGAGGTGCTGAGCGCGAAGCACCGTTACGACGAGGGCCTGCAGAAGCTCCTGGGCACCGAGGAGCAGGCGCGCCCGCCCTGCTGTGCCCCCCCCCCCCCTGGAGTCGGTGCGGCGACCGCACCGTGCGGTGAGTCAGTGGGGGGGGGGGGGGGGGGTCGGCCTTCCCCTCCTCCTCCTCCTGCTCCTCCTCTCCTACTGCCCCTCCTCCTCCTCCTCCTCCTCCCTCCCTCCTCTTTACTGCCGTCTCCTCCTCCTGCCTCCGCCGTCCACCTCTTCTCCTCCTCCTCCTTCCTCCTCCTCCTCCTCCTCTCCTCCTCCTCCCCCTCCTCCCCCATTTCCTCCTCCTCCTCCTCCTCTTTCCGCTCCTCGTCCTATTCCTCCTCCTCCCCCTCCGACGACAACGACGACGAGCGAGGGGGCGGACTGCGCGGACATTTGCGCGGGTTTCTCGACCAGACGGAAGAGTGGTCTTTCGCTGGGGTGACCTTTGGTGTGGTCCTTTTCCAAAACGTGGCTCTCGTTTCGCGCCTTTTTTTCCACATAGAAACCAATACACACATATAATACGTGTTTCAATCATTCTCGTGGTTCACGTACCAGAAATTTTGTTTTGGAGCGATTTAGGGTTGTCAGGGCGCAGAAGTTACGGTGATTCGCGGCGTTGAAGTCCCAGGAGAATGGTGTCCCTGCACGATTCAGGACCGTCAAGACGTGGCAGCCAGGTTATTTCGTGGAGTCGAAATCCTGAGAATGGTGTATGGGCACGCGTTAGGATTTTCACACGGAAGTCCCCCAACGGGGCAAGTCCTTCAGTGGAAATGAACCTGTGTAGGGGCCCATGAAGAGGGAGTTTGGAGGGACGGTGTGTTCAACCGTGGTTGAAGACTCTTGGTTTACACTTGTCCTCCTCCTCCTCCTCCTCCTCCACCTCCTCCTCCGTCCGCGCCCGTCCTCCTCCTCCTCCTCCCCCTCCTCCCCCTCCTCCTCCTCCTCCTCCTCCTCCTCCTCCTCCTCCTCCTCCTCCTCCTCCTCCGTCCGCGCCCGCTGCCTCGTGCTCGCTTTCATGAGCGTCGCGAGGGCGTGTGCGGCAGCACCCGCGCGGTACCCCTGAAGCTCTGCCGAGAACGCGCGCGCGGCCGACGACGGCCGAAGGCCTGCAGGGCTCGTCGTCGTCGTCGTCGTCGTCGTGGTCGTCGCCGTCGTCGTCGTCGTCGCCGTCGTCGGTGTCGTCGTCATCGTCGTCGTCGTCGTCGTGGTCGGTGACGTCGTCGTCGTCGTCGTCATCGTCGTCGTCGTTGTCGTCGTGTTTGTGGTAGTCGTCGTCGTCGTCGTCGTCGTCGTCGTCGTCGTCGTCGTCGTCGTCGATGACGTCGTCGTCAAGGTCGTGGAACCAGGCGCCTACCTTGCATCACCGGGGAATTGTGAGTATAGTCATTATGTATCCAGGGGGTGATTGGCATTCTGGCTGAGCGTGCCCATCCCCCCACCCTTCATCCGCCTCCGCCTCTTCCTCCCTTTCCTCTTCAACCTCCTCTCCTTCTCCTCCTCCTCCTCCTCCTCCTCCTCCTCCTCTTCCTCCTCCTCGTCCTCCTCTTCCTCCAACCCACGCCCCCCCGTGCTTGGTTAGCAGGGGCCCCGTCATCGACACGGGGATAGCCAGGGCACCCCCTGCCGGTCGAGCCAGTGGGGCTATCGGTGGGGTATAAGTCGAGAGTCGAGCTGGGGGCAAAGCCGCAGGACTGGCGGAGGCGGGAGGGGGAGGGGGGTGGGCTGCTGTGAGACTGCCCCTCCCTCTCCTCTCTTTTTTCTGCTCGTCTCCTCCCTCCCTCGTCGTCGGCCTTGTACTCGTTCTTCTTGTTGGGTTGATCTGGTACGCTGAATCCAAGCTGGATCCTCCACCTTCCGTCCACCCGTTCCAGTGCCATGTGCCCAACAGTCCCGGCGGATCCGAGGGGGGGGGGATTA